CAGACGAACCGATGACTGGATGGATGGCCGCCGCAGTCGTCACACTGATGATACGGATGTGCTTCTCCGTATACACCATGTTATCGGAGAGCTGCCAACGTATGGTTATCGTCGGGTATGGGCGCTGCTTCGCAGACAGGCAGAACTTGATGGTATGCCTGCGATCAATGCCAAACGTGTTTACCGGATCATGCGCCAGAATGCGCTGTTGCTTGAGCGAAAACCTGCTGTACCGCCATCGAAACGGGCACATACAGGCAGAGTGGCCGTGAAAGAAAGCAATCAGCGATGGTGCTCTGACGGGTTCGAGTTCTGCTGTGATAACGGAGAGAGACTGCGTGTCACGTTCGCGCTGGACTGCTGTGATCGTGAGGCACTGCACTGGGCGGTCACTACCGGCGGCTTCAACAGTGAAACAGTACAGGACGTCATGCTGGGAGCGGTGGAACGCCGCTTCGGCAACGATCTTCCGTCGTCTCCAGTGGAGTGGCTGACGGATAATGGTTCATGCTACCGGGCTAATGAAACACGCCAGTTCGCCCGGATGTTGGGACTTGAACCGAAGAACACGGCGGTGCGGAGTCCGGAGAGTAACGGAATAGCAGAGAGCTTCGTGAAAACGATAAAGCGTGACTACATCAGTATCATGCCCAAACCAGACGGGTTAACGGCAGCAAAGAACCTTGCAGAGGCGTTCGAGCATTATAACGAATGGCATCCGCATAGTGCGCTGGGTTATCGCTCGCCACGGGAATATCTGCGGCAGCGGGCTTGTAATGGGTTAAGTGATAACAGATGTCTGGAAATATAGGGGCAAATCCACTATCTATATCCTTTATCTATATATATATATATCTTTGTCTATATCTTTATCTATATCACTTGATATATCTTTATCTACTTTATTTATATCACTAACTATATCCTTTTGACCTTTTACTACTTTATAAACCTTTCTTAGTGTATCTATATACCTTTGACCTTTTACCAGTTTATAAAGGTTTCATGGTGTAGTTGGTTATCACATCATCTTGACGTGGTGAGGGTCCCCGGATCGAACCCGGGTGAAACCATTTTATACTTATAGTAGATGTTTATACTTATAATGTATATCATTCCTTTATATATCTATTTTATATTTATATTTATATTTATATTTATATTTATACATCTATGTTTAATTATAACAAAAACTATACCTATACCTATATTCTTATCCTTTATATATGTTTATTTATATGT